TACCGTAACGGGTGACTAAATCATGGTCGTTGTACGGACTAGACAGGGAGTCGCTACATACAGACCATTTATATAGTAAATACTGTTCGGCGCACCTACCTATGGTCACTAAAGACAGAACGTCGCTATATACAGGGGGTCGCTAAGACAGTCTTTACTGTACCTTCTTTCATGATATTTTCATTTTCATTAAAGGTTTTAACGCCAATCAAATTGAGACAGATATTACTTTTAAAACAGATATTACTTTTAAAACTCATAAATGAAAAAAAATCCGGCACAAGTATAAACTTACTCGTAACAAATGTCCGGAATAGGAGTGTAAATTGACTTTGGGAGATATATTATAGGCTTCAATATAAAAACATAACTGAACTTAAAAAATGCGATATTATTATCAATTGCATGCACGTTGAGATGCTTCATAATTTTAGTTTTTCTTGTGAATATACGCAACAGTATCTTTGCAATATCCAGAACATGTCAAATCCGACTACTCATCATTATTATAACCGACATGACCGTATAGACAAGTTTTACTTTATTCTTTATTACATTCCACATTGAAAGCTGTAAAGATTTTAAAATATATTTATATTATTCTGTTCCATTAAAGTTATATTCGTATGACAGGACGATTAATGTGAAATTGATTCTTTTACTGAATTTTTACATTATAACATCCTATCTTTGCCATAACGTTTCTATATCGGAAACAGTTAACATCACTTTTCTAGCGGAGAAGAGAGTATATTATACATCAAGCTTGGCAGATGCAACATTTTGTTACTATGACTATGAAAGACGCGTAGATTGTTGGATAGAATAGAAAATCTAGTTGCTCTTATACTTGTTAACAATTTGAGGAAACTTTTTTGTAAGAGTATACAATATTAAAAAATAGATTAAATGAACATTATACAAAGGCACGTTATGGATTTGGATTAAAACGGTTTTTAACATGAGTATGATTGATTATAAGAAAAACACGTAAAAAATATGTACCATTTCGTGTTTTCATTCAAAGGTTTGGTAAGTTCACATATTTAAAATAACTGTTACAAAATAAATACTGTATGTTTATGACTATATTTGCTAAGTATTAAATGTACCTTTATAAAACGTTTAATTTAAAAATATGTGTTAATATAGTCGTTCTTAAATCTTGAAATACAACATCAGAGGTATTGTATAATGTGATCATCTTTTCTTATCCAAATAAAGGCCATTTGTTTACCCAGTTTGGTTACGCAACTCATTTCTAAAAAAATGACATTATCTCTGGCAAAAGGACCTTTTGAAAATATGTTCATAGATTCTATTTACACACGTTTGTGTAACCGGTAATTCAGAAAGGATAGTTCAAAGGTTAAAAGAAATTCATAATTTTCTTTATTTTTCAGTTTTTTATATGCTTTTCTATATTTAGTTTAATATCAGCATAAGTTCCATTAACTGGTTTTTAATTGCTTAAAGTTATTTATTTTTGTTCATAATTTCTTACGACAATGTACATGTATATTTGATTATATTTTACTTTAAAGCTTTAAACACTTATATTACACACGGTAATTTATATATTGCGCGATGGTAAATGTTATAATGTTTTAAAGATGATGGTAAAATTAAAGCCTTTGTTTTATTTTTATAAGTGTGATATCACGATTTGAAAAATGTGGAAAACGACAAGAACTCTCAATTGTTTGATGCAAATAATCGACAAATGGTAAAAGATTATATAAAGAAAATTAAGACTAATTTGTATCTTGGATTTAACCGTTTACTGGTCATTGCTAGATGTTGATCCTACGGATTTCGTTTAGGTAATATCTTAATTAAGACAAAGTGTGTCAGACCGTTTGTCCAAAGATGTATGCATTTTTACCATTGTCAAAACAAAGATGTGGCTAAAATGTTAATGTAATTAGTTAAGTAAGATACCAAGATAACCCTTTAGATATATAATACACATTTTTAAACTGACTTTTGCATATATCACCACCAGCTGTTTGCTTGTCATGTACGTCGACCTCAATAAAAGCACGCGTTAAAGTCACTTATGTTGCAGACGATAAAATTAACAGTTGCTATGGTAGATAGGCCGCAAATTGTCTCTTTCTCTCAATGTTTAATTATTATTTTGCCAGAGCGGATATTAAATATGGTAACAGTATATCTGTTTATTTTAATTTATATTTTGGATTATATTTTATATGAAATCCAAACAAGATTGAAATTTAATGTAATACTATATTATTAATACGTTTTCTTATGTAATCAGTGCACAGTAACATTTTTCATCATAGTGTGTTATTTATAAAAAAAATCTTTTTTTCCAACCATTATTCATGCGAGAAATGCATTAAGAGAATTCAATGTCGTGGTACTGAATCGACTAGGTTTATTGCGTAGGTTGATATTTAAATGATTTCAATGATCTCAAAATTCATGCGACAGGACTGGGTTTGAAAATTGTTTGCTAGTAATTTCAGCTTTGCACTATCTGGTCTGAACAGAAAATTGTCCTCTTTTATTGCATGTAATTAGCATAATCATTAAAGTAACAGCATGCTTATTAGCACAAGTTTCGCAAGTTAATTATTAAAACAAGTCACTTAGCGCATGACATTTTAAGTAGAAAGAATAATGAAGGAAAGACCATGTATATAATTTTCTATCATGATGTCATTTTGTGTGTGTACATTTACACACAAAGTAAATGAACTTATGTCAAAATGACATTGCGAGGTTATTTTCTCATTTTTGCTTTGTTCACTCTGAAAAAAAAATCAAATTTAAAGTTTAAAATAGGATAACAACAAGTGTTACAAAAGACAGCAAATAGCTGGATGTTTGCGAAGTGTTTGCTTTGTTATTTCTACCCCTTTTGAGATAGCTGGTCTCTTCTTTTGTCCAAATATTCTCTTAAGTTATTATTTTTGCTGGAAAACAATATTCTGTGTTGTTCCAAATTATCCAAAGTATTTCAGTAAATTTATTATTGAAGTATAGCATCTTTTCATACGAAATTTTGTTTGAAATTTTGTTTGAATATTTAACAAAATCTTAATTATTTACGTAGATGTTATAAGAGATATCTTACAAGGATACTGTATTCTTAAATCACTTCATTATCATGCAAAAAAATATCTATTTGAATTTTCAAATGAATGACATTTGTATCATGTTTCCAGTTAGGTACACGATGTTAAATATTTCACCATGTCTAAGTTTTATTCCTAAAATCGAATGATGTTTGTAAGCATTTATGTATTATCAGCATGTAATATCACGTTATAACGGTAAATAAAAGTAGGGTCAAACGTAGTGAATATATAAATACAATAGCATAGGCACGTACATAACTCTCAAATGTCATTAGTAGCATGACATGTCCTTAATTTATAATAACAAAAACCAAAAGGTGGTCAAATTAACATTTTTTTTCAAATCTTCAGCAACCTTTGATTTTGTTATGTTTTCACTTTTTTTTTGCAAAAGAACTAATTTAGTCTGCTATCACCCCTTTTTTCCATTTTTTTCTAATTGTATGTGTCAAGTGGTCATGTGGTAGCTGTGACAAGTCCTCTTTCTAAGCATCAATGTCATTTGATCATTGCATTACACACATTCAATTTTGGAAATTGAATACTGAATACATCGGCGCGTGGGGCGTTATATATTTCGTTTTCTAGTTAAATCATAATTTCAGGATCCCGAATCTCATTGGAGCCACTAAGTTGATATACAAATGTGACTAATTTAATTCTCAAGTAGGTTCCACAGTCTATTTGTCTTGCTAAAATGTCTTATATTCTTTATATGATTTACTTCATGCCTAGATCTACTACATATTGGCTATTACTTTCCTTGTTAAATATATAGTTGGTTTGAAATCATTTATAATTTAATACAAATGATATACATATGGTTTGGCATGCTGTATATCACATATAAGGACTATATTTTAATGTACAGTTTTAATGACCCAAAAGAACCTTAGTTTGCAAGAATTGTCATAGTTTAATCCCGTCACAAAATTGCATTGCAAGACATTGCAAATACATGTTAATACATCACAAGGTCACTCACAAAGAAGAATCAGAGTATCTACATATTTATGACCTGTCCAAGCGTCACAAATAAGTTTTTTATTACAGCATATATGTATATCAGCAAGTATGTATATTAACGCTTAGTTTAATTTGTAAATTAAAGTCAGTTCCTAATGAAATAAATGTCCATTTAAGAAAAAGATTCCGAATGTTATGTAAACACACCCTGTGTGTAAGTTTGGTTGTCTGTACGAACAACGTTTATTTAGGTTTTAAATTATAATCGGCTTATCAGTGTATTTGTACCATTTGTAACATTAACGATATAATTCATTTACTACTTAAATACCAGCTCTTTTTATCCCCTGTCTTGTAAATATATTTGTAAGGTATTATCTAACAATCTCCACAAATATATGTTTGCGATGGAAGCATTAACTGTCGATTGAGTATAAGTTTGATATCTAATAAACAATATATAAAATCATTGATGTCAAACTTGAAAAGGCGGTTGTAATTAGAGGCCAAGTTAAAAGTTGGTACCTTCGCGATAGAAAAATGTGTTTGATTACGTCAGTCATAATGTGTTGACATTTGCTTAACAGTAAAGTTATGTACGTTGGTTTTGTAATCTTCTGGTCGATTATCGGAATGGAAAGTTATTAGTACATATGATTATTGCTTGTAAAATGAATACAGTGTTATGGACTAAAATAATATACTTTCTTCGAAGTAGAGTTTTAATCACTTTGCTATGATTAAATGCATGTACCTTTCGCTTATAAGGAAGTAAGCAAACATATATTTTTTCATGCAAATTAGAATGATATGTTTTGCAGCAGACATAATGGTTTATATTTACACTTGGTTAAAAATTATTTTGTCCGGATGGGTCAAATGTATATATTTGCCTTTTTGGTATTAAATGAGCATAACAATTTAAAACTTTAGGAAACATCTATTTACTGTTTGTAATTTGCAAATGAAATAATTTGAAATGAACACAAGATGATTTTTAGGAGAACTAACAGACTAAGAAAACTTATTTTAGACTATCACTTTACGGCCCTACTTTTTGATGTATCAACCTCGTTATTCCAGACGATGCTTACAACCTTCTTTTTACAATAACTTTAAATGGTTTTGGTGAGAGTATAAGTCCCCAAATAGGATCAAGATCAAGGTCAGACCCATCAGCCTTCTGAAGTGAGTAACGCTGTAATAACGTTACAATCACAATAAATATGTTCATTTTTGCCATAGTTTCGCCTGGGCATTGGCGTCTACCCGCACCAAATGCCATTATATGAGAGCACTTTTCCTTGTCAAGTTTTCCAGAATCATCAAGAAGCCTTTCTGGCCTAAAGTTTTCCGGATCTCCCCAATATGACTCATCATTTGCTACTGAATGAAGGTTGAAGAAAACCACAGTATCTTTGTCAATGTCATACCCTTGCAATTTTGTGTCATGAAGAGTGATATGAGGGATGGCGAAAGGAACAATGCTTGTTTTTCTCAAAACTTCCAGGATAGTAGCCATTACGTATGGTAGGTTAGCTTGGTCGTTACCAGAAATATTCCTGTTGCTGCCTAGTTCTTTGTCAACTTCTTCCTGAGCACGCTTTTGGACATCTGGAAACATTATTAAGTATAGAATAATAAACATGAGTGTATTACTTGTTGTATCGAAACCAGCAACTTGCAATGTCGAAATTTGAAATTGTAAAAGTGTTGCTGATATATTACCACTGCTGTCCTGATCGGGCAGGTCGCTTGACAGATCACATAATGCATCCAAAATATCCCTGGTCTGTCCATCTTGAAATGAAATCCTATGTTCAGATATCTTAGATTTTGTTATCCAGTCAGTTGCTGTCATGGCCTCTTTTACTTTATCCACTTCTGCTTTAAAGAAATACCTTAACCATGGAATAACGTCAACTAGATTACCACTGGATGCAAATTTGTTAAAGGTTTCAGTTGATTCAATTATTAAGTTTAAATGTGGTTTAATTTCATCTTCTTTTCCTCTTCCAAACAGCATTTGGTATATTGCACTTATGACAGTCAATTGAATATCTAAATTGATGGATACGGGTTCATCGGTTTGATATCTCAACAGCTTTTCCGCCAGTTTTTCAGCTTCGTCCCGAAACAATTCATTTGGAGAATAATCGCAGTTTTTCGTGTATTTTCTCATGGCCATAGTTGTCCGTTTTCTAAGTTGAAGATACTTTGGAGAAAAATTACAAAAAGATAAGCTTTCAAGACCATCGAATGCTTCCCTTATCGCAATTTCCGTAGCAAATTCAGGTCTACCAGAAAAGACATCATCCTTTCGCTCTGCTGCATCTTTAATGGCTTCGTACCCATTGACAATAATTGTATTCCAACTACCAAAGCGGATGCTGAAAATATCTCCGTATTTCTGCCGCCATTTTGAATATTTTTGCTCGGGTTTGTTACTTAATAAAGGCAGGTGTCCAAAGATAGGAAATCCCCAAGGTCCAGGGGGGTACCGTTTTTTATTGAACCACTTTGCCCACCATGCAGCCAAACTCAGTGTAATGAAACCCAGTAGAATACCACTTACAGATACTGATATATCCATTTTTATATAAAGGAAACGATGTAAATGTGCACAATATCGACAACCTAGATAATGAACTCACGTCTATAGCTGAACATTTATATATATGCTTGTTTAAATATGACCTCAACTGTAAATACCGTTAACACAGCATGTGGTCGTGTTTATCATAAACCGGTTTTACATATTTAACTCAAACACTTACATTATTTGAGAAATGAATAGATATCTAAAATCCATGTCATAATCTTTATACTTTATTCTAAATGAATTGGGGAAACTGTTTGTTTAAGTTGATTAGTTATCTTTCCTGTTACTACCGGATTTTAGTTTTATTATAGTCTGATGGCTAATTTACGCGGGGCATCGGACGAAAATACGAAATACGACAATATATACAGTTTATTGTATTTTCGCCACGCGGGGCACACGGTGAAAACATGATTGTACGACGAAGTCACAAATTTGTCCTACTTTGTCGTTTTTTAGTTAGTTTTATTTTTTTGTGTGTGTGCGTGTGCGTGTGTGCGTGCGTGTGTGCGTGTGTGTGCGTGCGTGTGCGTGTGTGTCTGCGTGTTCGTGTGCATGCGTTCGCCTTTTGTTGGCATGCTGCTTTACAAGGAATTCTAATACGTTTTTTTTTGTGCAGTTTTGAACACCGTTACAGTTGAGAAAGGTAAAATAGTTGTTGTTTAATTTAAAATGACAACAACAACTATTTTCCTGGCAATATGTGCCTACTTAATTTAACCTTTTCCCTAATTTTCTTTCCTTTTTTATCTTTATTTTTCGTTTTGCTTTTGGTTTCTTTGTTTGTTTGTTTAGTCCTTTTTCACGACATTTAGAGATGGAAAGCGGTTAAGGTACTTTGCATAGAACTGCTTTATTCATGTAGAATATATTGAATACTAACTACAGTGATCAATGCATGGAATGTACTGGTCTGTCACGTTATAGAATTAAGGAGCAACGGTTTATTCGGTTTAATTGGTATCGAATGAAATAAAACATTGAAAATGTTCCAACTTCACATCGTGGTGTTTATGTTACAGTCATACTCTCTGTACATGTATGTATATTTAACTAAAATATCGAAACAAGTCTGTGCTTATATAGTTCTGCTTCATAAAATGTTACAGTTTAATAAATGATTCTTTGATCAGAGATTGATTCACTGCATATAATTATCTGTACTTTGCATTATAAACACATTTATTTATTACATAGTGGTTATAACGGAAGCTGTAAACTTCATTCTTTGGTCGAAACGCATTAATCAAATTTGACAAATTGTATAAAAGAGAAAGGAAAACTAAGTAAAGGTACATTCAACATTTTATATTAGTGGAAAACATATATTTGGATTATTGATATATCTAGGTGAGCTTTTACTTGTAAAACATATGACTATGACAGCTGATGATGTAAAGTTGAGTACAAATAATACTGAATTCTACTGGACGGGTACACACCTGTCAAACCTATATTGCACGAGGAGCTAGCCGAATCCAACTGAATCAATATTGTTTTAAACAATGCATTGTGATATTTTTATTACACACATCCATTTTTGACATTTTGGCAGAGCTTTGTCACTTAAAGTACAAAAAAGGATTAATTATGAATTTGTAGGAATTTGGAAATTAAAACGAAATTTATAAAATCTAAAGAATAAATAATTTCAATTTCACACCATCTTCTTCTCGTTTCCAAATTCAAAAAGTTTCATATTAAATCCATATCGCACCAATCTAGGCTCGTTTTGTTTTCATTTTTTGAGAATCCGAAAATGAATAGACTAGCTCGTACAGTTGCAAAACTTAAATCAGACTCGGCTAATATATCGTTTGATATAGTTTGTACTCTCGTTCATTAGAATTCAGTAATGTACTAAACAATGTTTAATAACCTCATAATATTATCACGTGGTACAAACACTAAAAAGACATTAGTTTAAATTGAGCTTTTTATATAATTTGCTGATCATTGCATGACTGGATAAAATATAGAATAACCGTCTACAATTGTGTATGAACACTTCACTATTTACCGGAAAAATTAATCTTATTAATATGATTGTTTTAGTTGGATTGGTTGGATTTAACCTCAGAACTATTTATTAAAAAAAAAACACTAATAACATAACATAATAACATTAAAAGGGTTTTTTCGACATGGCGAGATTTGAAATATTTTTTCCTGATTTAATGTACCATTTGATGTTGGTCTGGATCAATAACTTGTACACAAATCATCCAGTCACACTCTTTTTTCAGAATAATTATTTTAATTGTAAAAACATAACTGAAACTGAAAAACGTTTAACACATAAAACTCAAATCAGATAAGAAAGTAAAATAAAATACGATTTTTAATTATGTATGTATACTTTGAGCAGTTTTTTATTTTCATTTGCATAACTCTTCGTTTTAAAAGCAGTTAATGCTTTGTAAGAAATCCAAGCGTTTTGTTTTAAGATCGTGTGATCTTCAGTTGAGTTGCTTAGAATGATTTTCATCATATGTTCATATCAGATGTTTTATCATACATTACATTCTCTTTCACCTTTTTCTTGCATTCATCATTTTACTATATTCATCATAATTAATCTCGGTGTTTTACCGTACAATTTGTTGTTTGTCAGTTTAAGTAGAACATTGTCCATTTCAGACTGTTTTGCCACAGAAAAATGGTAAAGCATTGATTGTTAGAATGATTTGACATTGTGCACCTGTAGGATTGTCTTCCCCAATGTTTTGACATTATAAAATGGTGAAACCACTTTTTTTTCAGAATGATTTGACATTGTAAAATGGCGGAGGCATTGGTAGAACTCTGTTACACTCACCCACATCTTTATAAACTTTGTAACAAAGTCAAGTGTATACCATGGCAACAAAAGTGCCGTGAGTGAAAATTTCTCTATTTCATTTTAACGTTGAATTACTGCTAATAATTGAATATTAAAAACATTTCTAGTTTAAATTGATATATAAGTACTGTGAATTGTTTGGTTTGAGACCCATTAATATTTAATTTTTTTTCATTTAGTGGCAAATCGGCATTTCAAAACCATTTGACCATTTACACATGAAGAGTGAATACGCCTCTTCGTAAAATTTACGCACAAACAATCACTTAATTTGTCTATCAGATCGCTAATTGCACTATAACTTCCACAAACCGCAAATATTTTTGTATTCACTTTGTCATTTTTGTTTTCAGCATGTAATGCGGATTCAGAATTTCAATGTTCTCTGGGAAATTGTATTCCTCTAAAGTTAAAGTGTGATGGGCTACAGCAATGTATGTATGGTGAAGATGAAGAAAACTGTCATTTGACAAATACAACTGAAGGTGGGCTTATCAGCACGATGTTTCTGTAATATGATTTTACAATGAGGTAACTGAGGAGCTGTCAGGTTTTTATAAATATTAATTTGTTAAGACCTTTTAGACCTCTATCCACGTATTTTTACATAGAGCACACCTATGGTCATGCTTAGTTAAACATAAAGATAGCGAAAGATTCTAAAGTACAATTAAGCTTCGAAGGTTCACTCACACATAACATGTATAAGTTGGACCAGTTGGGCATGCTTATGCTTCTCAGTAATACATAATTATACACATTAGCTATACAGTAATGTTGATTTATATACAATGGACTTAATATGATGTACTTTAGAAACCAGGAATTGCCCAGATACTTTTCCACGTATTTATTGAACAGCCCTAGCTCGTACATCTCAGGTAAAGTATTCAAAGCTTTTAACAGGTATAATAAATTGTTTATCATTCTAGTGACGGAGATACCAAAGGTTGAGGTAACAGATAGCTATAAACCAGAGCCGACGACTTCAGATGAGGGGTTGTCTTTACCAGTGATGGTCACTGTTGTGTCTTTTTCCGTGTTCATTATAATTCTTTTGTTCATTCTTCTATGTTTCTATATCACAAGTAGACAGAAAAAGGACACGTCCAAAGAATCACAGTCAGGTATTATAAATAATTATAGGTTATTTAGTGTTGAACTGTACAATACGAGAATAATTATGTATATCTGGACGAGTAAACACGGTCGTGAGACCATATTGGATGAGCTGAAAATAGGTCTAAGTATATCTCTTATTGTTCATAACACTTTTATCAAAATCAAACTCGAACATCAAGCTTCCTTTTTTTGCTGGTTGTATTATTGCGCTAACGTGGAATGTCAAACACACACAGCTTTGAGGTATTTGTACGTTTATTGAAAGAGATATGCTGAAGGCGTAGCTTTATAATGTTATGATTATGTGTGAATGTAGTCAGTAAAAATTCGGTCATAATCTAATATAATTATGAAAAATGATATCATTATTCTGTATGACATTTTCTTTTTCATTTTGTTAAATTTTCTAACAGCATCAGAGCCACTTCAGAAGAGCTACATGACAGGAAATGTTGAAGATGCGGACTCGTCAGATCAATCCAGAGGGACCTTTAAACGAAGAGCATACCGTCCTACCAGGTTGGATCGTTCAAATTATTTACCCGTGAACGTCAATGATTTTCAGTCAGACTACCAGGTGAATATTCATGAGGTGAATGACGATGGCGATATTTTCTTAGCGGATAGTCATTCGTCCGCAGATCCTGGAAACGTTTGCGTCAAGGGTAGAAACATGGCCATAAATTCTGATGTTGAAATATATAACACAGATATCAACAGCGAATTTAGAGCCGATGGTTTAGGGAAATACACGTTTAAACCAACGTTAAACTACATGAAAAGCAAATCGTGTCATGATATAGATGAGGAAAATGATAAGTTATCAATGAGAAATAGTTATAAACAATCCTTTCCGGGTCAAAGCAATCCACGATCGACATCGACCTCTGACAAGGGTAGGGATAAATTCTCAACTAAGTTCGCTTCAGGCCTGTTATGTTCATCTACTCCAAGACAGTGTCATAAACAGTCAATAAATTATATCGATGTGTCCGGTGTATGACATGATACTCTGGTTCTCTGAGAGTCGCCATTAACTCCGACCCACCCGGAAATGGAGCTAGATCACTGTCAAAAGACGCTTTTAAGATGTGTGCTTAGTGCTTACACGTTAAGGGACAACAGTTTTGGTTCCTTTGTCGTTTTTATTCATTTCAAAATATTATTTTCCACAAATCAATCAGCATAATATTTGCAGATGTGCTCAAACACCTTTGTTGCACGTCCTTGTATATCATTATTTGTGTCATGCCATAATATTTATTTCCATATTGCATGGAATAAAGTTGCAAATGTTTATCTGATATCTGTATATTGTGACAGTCATTTCATGTAATGAAGTTTTATTTAACAAATGTGTAATTTTCTAGGCTACATATCGCTCATTATATGCAGTCATTTATTTAAATGTTTTCATTTGATCAACAAGTGGCATTCTATTGTTCATTCGTTGCAACAATATTGCTAAGCTATCTGAGAAAATAACTTTTTTTATCTAATGTTAATGCATGAGCAGTGCTATTTATTCATTATCTTCATTGCAGTGTTTCTTTCTTTTTATATCACTTCGTCTCGACTTTAATTATATGTTTTATATCGCTGTTATTTATGTTATCTCTGTTTTGTCTTCAAGCTGTGCCTTTACAATTTTATATTTGATAATTCATCTCCTCTGCTATCAATTAAATAAAGACAGTTAGTGTTTAAAATGCTAGCGTTTAAAATTTTCACAAAGCTTTCTATTGTTTGTGTTCAGTAACAGTTTCCAATACCGCTACTTATTGTCCATATTTTGATTATTTTACTTTTTTGCAATCAGTACATTATTAATTGTAGTGTCTTGGTTGTCTTGGTATACAAAAGCCAAAATATCACTTTGTGTCATTTTTGCTAGTTTTATGACTAGCAATTTCACTTGCTTTATGTTGTAAGCATCTTACATGTACATTCTATTAATCTGTAGGCGCAGTTGTGTACAAATAACAAGAAATAGGAAGTTGCAAACAATTTAACTTTTTATGGGTAAATGTATTAGGTTTTAATGCCAGGAACATCTCTGAATTATAGCATCAAATATTTTTTTAAAAAACAATGATGATATTAATTTATGTTCATATCGCTATCGCTAAGAATTTTCTAAAGATTCGTCTTGACTATAAACCAAATACGGTTTAAAGCCCATCAGATATTCTATATGAAAAAATGATTGTTTTCTATGGCAAAGCAAACAACTTGACATTTTATTTAAAGAAACATATTATCCTCTTCCCACAGAATATAATTGCTGTGTAAGTTCAGAATGTAAGTCATACAAGACCATAAATTGTGCATTGGAAAGTTTAAAGAGTTTGAGGATGTAGAGCATTGTTTCATTAAAAGGAAAGAAGGAAAATTCAAACTCACCTGCAGGATTTTCACAATCTTTGCATGATTAAAAAGACTCATTGATTAAAAAAATACAAATCTTCCGGCTCACCATGCAGCAATGCTTTTACTTTTTAATTATCTTCATCTAAAAGTGAGGTTTTTGGTTTTTGTCTCTTTTTTAAGTAATTTTTCAATACACGACCAGGAGACATAAATCTGGAGTCGTGCTGCTTAAATGTGCATAAGCATGATAATAAATATTTAATCCCTTGAGATTTAAACATTTTGGACCTTCTCTTTGAACAATTATTGTAACCAAATACATGTATATACAAAAAGCCCCTTTAAAATGTCATTAATTCTTCTCATTTTCATTCTAAGTATTAGAATATATATATACCCGTACTTTAAAATCTAAAACAAAACATAAAGAATAGCCTTTATGCTTATAGCTACACAAGTAGGTCAAATCAACAGACATATTGCAGATACTTCAAGTATACCCAACTGCTCATAAATGACATGTTGATTAGAAAAACAGATGGGAAGAAATAAAATGACTCGAACGAATGACCACTGGTTCGGTAGTTTACCACTTTTTACGGTGGTTGGGAATATTGTTCCTTGGAACTGCTTGTTGGACTCAACGGGTACTTTTTAGTTAACGAGACAATACCTACCGATGTAAAAATATTCATCGATCGGTACCCGAAAACAAACAACGGTCACCGAAAATTAAAAGCAAGGTTTATGTACGGGGACCTACACATTATAAATATCCTGCACGACAAAACTCCCAACATCATCATTATATGTAACCATGGAACAACACCCGAAAAAGAAACACATCTATTCACTGCTATATCTGAAACAATTTCAAGGTGCCTGCATGAATAGATAAAAATCTGGAAACAAAGTGATCCCTCGGAAGCATTAATCACAACAAAATTACAAGAGAATTGCAGACTCGGTTTGATTGAGTCTGTACATGAGGGATAATGAATACGTGCAACATCCCTCATGCCCCCTAGCACCGGCTTGAGCGGTACTCAATTCTCAACACTTAATAGTGCTGGCATCAATGATCCCGAAGGACCAGAAAAATATAACAACACTAAGTGAAGTACGGGGCAACTTTTTACAGCTGCCACACAGAACTTGACACCTGCTGTTGTGAAGTATAAAGATTAGGAAACAAAGTGATCCCTCGGAAGCATTAATCACAACAAAATTACAAGAGAATTGCAGACTCGGTTTGATTGAGTCTGTACATGAGGGATAATGAATACGTGCAACATCCCTCACGCCCCCTAGCACCGGCTTGAGCGGTACTCAATTCTCAAAACTGAGAAAAATATGAGTACTAAATTGCAAGAGTAGCCAAAATGTGTTACTTCACAAGTACTATTATTTGTTATTTTGTTTCCTTTCAAGAATGTGTTTGTTGAAAGCATGTCCGTCTTGCAAGGTTCCAGGAGTTTAAAGACTTATTACAGTACTTCAACGATAAATGGTCATATATTCACCAATATTTAATGTGTACAATACAGATTCAATTCAATGTTTCATCAGCTATATTTTGTTTACAATATGTGACCTATGCCAACGATCGTCATAATTTTTTTATATCTACCAATCATACAACAATAATAGGCAAAACAATCATTTAAGAGAAAAACGTCACTGTATGTTATAGCATACTGTATTAATACGCCGTGCAGACCATGATCTGGTGGATGTTTTGACTTTAGAAAACAGAATAGAATACATTAGATATACAGATCATTTTAACCAATGCAAAATAAATAAATAAATAAATAGAATTTTTAACACAGTCAATTAAGAAATACACATGCAGTCAATTAAGAAATCGATAGTGTATACATTCATATATATAATAAACAGTCAACAACGATATTTCCGTGTCTTTTGATTTCAGATTGTAAATTAATTTAGACAACTTATCATTCTGATTAACAAATGATAAAACATTATTTGGAATTTCAATAGGTTATGATTTCTATTAATTTATAGAGAGCAACATTTTTTGGCAACTAAATTTTTTCTTTGGAATTTTTCTCTCTTTGGGTTCAAAACTATGATTGTCGCCCTTGCTAAAATACTCTCTTCAAAGGAGAATTTAGCCGGCATTTGGGAAGTTAGATGTGGCAATTTTTTGACAGGCAGTGTGAAGTATTTTACCCAAAACTGACAATTGTACAGACAATATGCCGGTAAGTTTTGAAAAGTAATGTCTTCTTTTAGGTTAATAAGATTCCATGTTAATGAAAAATAATTTACGTATGGTAAAATAGTGTCTTTTAACTTATTTTGCTTATCAAGATTCTAGATAACTAAACAGCTAAAATATTGTAATATTTTGTATTCACGATATAAACATTATCTTAACTTTTTATTTATGGTAGGTCATGAAAATAGAAATTGATCTATTTTGAAAACAATTTCATTCAGACTATCGTAGTACTATGACTAGTACACTTACTGTTACAGATCTGATATTTTTCCCAACTTAATCTAGGTTTTTTTAAACGCATCAACACGCATTCTTTTCCTTTGTTGCATCAAGTTAGTTGTATTTATTTTACTTCAGACATGACACGCCCACATAACATATCTTAAATGTTGATCTGTAAGTTTCATACTCTGGCGAAATCTGATGCATTCCTACACCCTTCATTTAAGTTTTGTTGGAGGATATTTTTTTACTTTGATGTTTGAAACCATTCTGATTTGCTTACTGAAAATACAACACTACAGTCAAGATTACTGATTAGATGACCAAGATAAATTAACAAATCGTATGTATTAACATAATAAAGCAGTAGACTAGTCAGAGAGGGTCTTGGGAGTAAAACTTGCATATTTTCCGAGTTTATTTTTTGTTGTTAATCAGATCAAAATTATAGTTGACATCATAAATTGATATGGGGCCAGCAGACCTGATTTTTAATGCATATGAAGGAATCGTGACACATCTTATCTTTAACTGTCTTCTTCACAATAATGTGTCTGTTTCCTTTTTAGTATTTTGATTTTGAAACCCTTTAAGACTGAAATTAATGATGATTATTTTCAAGTTAAAAACAGAAAAAGTCTGTTCTTCAAAGCATACTGAAGATTAAAATATATTGAGAGATCATACTTATTATGTATATTTATATTTGTGGAATAAGCATTATTTTTATTTTATATTCTCAGCCAAAAGGAAAACAAGGAACTAAGGGGCAAAAACAGATTGAAACAGAGAACAAACAGACATTGTCATTTTACATGTACATTGTTCTTTGTGTAAATGTAAGTATCAAAATATTTGACATCAGTGAAAAAGTGAGAAAATGAAAACATATTGCTTTTGAATTTAGAAGTTCCATCTCAAGCAAATTGAAGTATTGAAATAATTATGTCAGTTAGAATTTCACAAACAATTTTTTTTCTATAGTCTTTCTTAAAAAAAATTACATTGATAATAGCACCTTGTGGCTCACAGTGGTTGAGGGGCTGCCTTAAAGAGTTAAGACACCAGAATTGAAGCCACCATTTATCCCTAAATGATTGTAAGAGGGGACTAACTGTGTTTGAATTATTACTGTCTATAAATCTCTTAGCTCCAGCAGGAGAAGTTGCTTTGACCCCTGGTGTTGCTTTAAGTTTATAACACCCAAGGTTAGCCAAAACATTTTTCCTGTTTCAGGGCCATAGGACATAGATTATGTTTATGCGCCATAAAACCAAACAAACAACAAAATCAGTGATTATATCAACTGGAAGTCATTTCGTTATTATAACAGCTTTTCATGTTAAAATAATGTTTTATATAGTATATTGATATTATTGATAATAAAAAAGTATTATACTGTTTAGATTTTGATTTATTTTGTTTCCATTTGACATTAAAAAGTTAATTTTATATTATTTTCAGGTATTATTTTATGGTGTCCAGTATATCCTATTCAGCGAATCATTTACAACATTTTACATTGTAAGTACTGTATATAAATGTGATTATTGATAAAGTCACTAAATAGAATAAAATGTTTATTATTTAAATTTTATTTAAATTAGATTCAATCTGGCACATTTGTTTTGTATTGCTGTAAATATGTTTTGATTGGTCTTCAATGTGATGAACAATCAAAAGCCATATTAATATTATGTGTATTTTAAATCCCATGGTTATTTCATTAATATATAGTTCTATACACAACTAAGACCGTCTTCGTGGTTGAGGGGTTAGAGTTGATGACTTCTAATCTAGTTACCTCTCTGGCGTGGGTTCGATCCCAGGAGATGATTTGGTAGTTTAGTGCTAAGGAAGGTAGTCTAGTACTGGTGTAACTCTCCAGGAACAATGGTTATGAAACTACCCACCTATATGACTGAAAAACTGTTGGGGAAAAGGCATAAAATGAAACAAACAAATACACAACTTAAGTATTTTGGTAATGAAATTTCTTTTATTATAGATTGTTCCCAGTTCTATACAGGACAAGATTTAGTACAATAACCCTTACCCCCTCAGCCTGCTGACATCAGTTGATTTTCCCCTTGCAACTAGTGCAGACCAAGATCAGATGGAACTGCCTCCGTGGTCGAGGGGTTAGAGTCGATGACTTCTAATCCAGTTACCTCTCTGGCATGGGTTCGATCCCTGGGAGATGCTTTGGTAGTTTAGCGCGGAGGAAGGTTGTCTAGTACTGGTGTAACTCTCCAGGAACGATGGTTAGGAAACTACCCGCCTATATGACTGAAATACTGTTGAAAAAGGCGTAAAATGAAACAAACAAACAAACAAAACAAGATCAGCTGGTAAATCCTTGCCATGACTACTGTCAGATCAAGGTCTGCACAGTTTGCTATTCAGTCAGTACTTACTATTTTAAAGATTTTTCCTTAAAATGATGAATGATTTTGTCTATTTGAAAAAATAGTGGTGTGAGTCCAGGTCAAGCTAAACATTTACTCACTCTTTGATATTTGGCATCCATGGAGGGACCATAATCAGGATCGCTTCAAAGCCCACAGGAAATTTGTGGAGGAATGACAATATAGTTGGGGAGTGTTTGATGGTTTAAAACTGTGCACTAATAAGAAGAGATAATGTATTAGTGGCTAGATAGCACAGTCATGAAGAAGAGATATTGTACCTTAAGGTCCTGGGATAGAGTCCTGGTTAGGTTGCTCATTTTTCTCACATAAATAAAAGACTCAAATATATTTCTTTTAAACTAACATTACAGGTATTATCATTGTTGGCACTATGTGTTTATGGAGGTTGTTACAAGTTCATGAGCAGTATGGCTGGACAGGGAATAGACATAAATATGGAATCTGGAATGGCAGAGTAAGTTGTGTATTCAAGTGTCCATTCTATTTATGTTACTCCTTTCTGACTATAGATGTCAAATAAGATTTTTTTGCACTTTATTTATTTTTTTAATGTACAAAATATGTAGATAATCTGTAGAAATGCAGATTGCTTGCATTTTCATGCAAGAAACAAATGATACTTATTTTGCCATTGTAAAATTACCTTTTTTCTGATTTTTACATAGATATTTTGCTTTTGTAAGATTGCTTTATTTTCTTAAAGGAACTCCTTTGAGGTTCAAAAGCCTAAAAACATAAATTCTGAATTACTTACATATATTAACTGGGACACTTAAATAAGAAAGACATGCAAAAGATGATAAAGAAATACAGTAATGTATGCTCAGAGATAAATTGAAAATCATATTTTTATGCTATTCTTAACCTATTTAGGTAAAAAGCATTGCAACACTTCAATTATGGGTAATTTTTCACAGATTAATTATTCTGGAAAAACAGAGAGAGCCAATGATCTGAAATTTTGGACACAAGTTATTGGTGTGGACCTTCATCAAACAAAACATTCATTTCTAAAAATAATTTCCAGTCTCGCTATGTTAAAAAACCTAACTGTCTGTGGAGTCCCTTGAAAGTCATAAGAATTTCATGAAGATTTTTGAAGATTTTTTTGTATACAGCATGTAATAATGTTACATACGAGTATCTTTTGTTATATTTACAGGCATGCAAAAGATGTGTTATTATTGACAGCCATTGTTGAAACCTTAGCATTGATCTCAAATTATTTCTGGTTATTTTGGTTTGTTGTAAGTATTGTTTTTTTTAAAAAAAAAACCTTTGTTTTGTTTTTAATAATATATGGGGTCATGGCCCTTTGTACCAGAAAGAATAATAACAAAAGAAATAGCACTGCAGACCATATAAGTGGCATGTCCATTCATGTGTCTATCCCATGCTACATTTGTATAATTAGGAAATTATTTTGTTTAGGAAATAGTAATCAATAATAAGTGCATTGTTGTAAAATAATGCATAATGCATGGCTTGAGTTCGAATGCACAAAGGCTTATAAGTTTAATGAATTACAAAACAGTTGAAAAAATAATAATAATCTCTTTAGCCATTTTAACATGGTTTTTTTTGTTTTTTTTTTAAATTGATAAAATGTTGGAGATCATTTGTTTTATTGATGTCATTTGATATGTAAGCATTTTTTATCTGTTTGAATGGAGAATATGTGAAGCATGTTAGAATATTTTTTAAGAAATTATTTATACATGTTACTTAACAGAGAATATGATTGGACGAATTGAATTAACTGACAAATAAAAGGAACAATTCAACTGACAGTGATGAAGCTGACTTTATGTAATGGAATTGCCTTTTAGTTTGGAACAGTACATTCAAAACTGAGTGGGGATTTCAATATCAAAATAATTTTAATACAAAAATTGAGCTACCAACAGTAAAGAGCCTCTGCAGATTTGCATGATAGGTGGCCCTGAATAAATTACATGTAGAATATTTGAGGCCAAGACTAATCATTCTAGTAGAATGCATTATAACATTAAGATATACAGTGTAACCTGTACAGAATGGCCACCTGTAGAGCAGTAACCTCTGTACAACAATGGAATAAGATCTTCCCATATTAAGATTTAACACTGAATTTAACCTCTCCAGGTCAACTGTTGGAGAGATAATATTCAGAACGGAAACAGAAAATTTCTTCTTTTTCTTCAAAGTTAAAGGGGCATAGCTCTGCTAAAAATCATCGAACCATGACCAAATTCGAACTTGACCTGGGCATTCCTTTGATGTATCCGTATGTCAAATTTGAGTTGAATGTGTACAACTGTCCAAAACACCTCAGCAACAACCAAACTCTTTGCCCTTCAATAGGAGGTGCTCTTTAGATTTTGTACTGTATAATAATAATGATTTATAAATGTTTAATTGCAGGCACCTGGCAGAGCATTTTATTTACTTTGGGTTAATATATTATCCCCATGGTTCTTCCAAGAAGCTCCGGAAGTTGACGAAAAGAAGCAGAAAAAAATGGACAGAAAACTAAAACGACAACAACGATGAAATTTTAGTTTTTAGGCATCAAAGAAACTTTTATTATTGACCCTCTAAATTATTTGGGAATTTTACAGTTGTGTGATACCATGAAATTCAAATGCACTCTTGAAAGTTTTCGTTGAAATTTATTCATGCATAATGCTTGATTAAAGAGAAAAGGATGGATATTGATTGGAAATAATGTTCAAAAAATTATTTCTGCTGGGCAGAAGTTTCAGGCAGCAAGTGTTGTCAAGATTTCATGAAAATGGCAATTTTTTAGGGGAACTTAAATTGAATTTTTACCTCACTGTTAATGTGACATGAAATCATCAAAGCAATATCAATGAAATAATTTTATGACTTTTACTCATGTTTTACTATTTTGTTATACGTTTTTATAAGCAATGCATTTGTCAAGTTATTTATCACACTATTTTGGTTGCTTGAAACTACTTGATAGATTATTGTTGGAATATTCATTCAAACATTACAAGAAAGAGCAACTAAACACACCAGTGGCAAGTCTTTCTATATTGCATGTTGTCTGCTAGTTTACTTTTAAAAAGTTAACTGTCTGGTTAGTGTTTGTACTCAGGTGTCAAATTGAGGGCACAGATAAGCATCTAGTGGGTTATATTCCAAAAGCAAAGCTGAAATGGTGCCATATTATCATAAAACTGTTGAAGAATCAAAGATCATGATGAAATGATTTTTTATGGATATTTTTGTAGGACATGTGTTACTTAATGGCATATGTTATATGGAGAATATGATTTTATTCAAGGCATATAAATATAATTCTTGAAAGGGCAATAACTTCTTTCATGGTTGGATGAGCAGGGGTGTCTGGCAGCCGCAGTCTTATCCATCAGTGTAGCTGGAAAATCCACCTGTTGACATGCAAAGTGTCTTGAAATGCATTAAAAAAATTGAGTATTAATTTGAAAATGATAAAAAAAGTTGTATACTGATGCTGAGATATTGTTTGGTGTTGGCCAAGTTAAGCATATATACAGGTATTGTTATTTTCAGGGTTCTTTTAAAAAAATATACTTCTTGTATCTTGTTAACAGTTGTCTTTGAACTATTATTAAATAAAATTTGTACATGTGTATGAAATGTTTTAAGTAATTGGTTCAGTGGATTTTTGACTTCTCTTGGATGACAGGATACATGTTTCATTTGAACCTTGGCCTAAGTCTATACAATTTATGTTTGAAATATTTTATTGTCATTCCCTTTAATTACAATTTGTTTTCACATTTATGATATGAATAAAGATTTTATGAAAAACTAAGTTGATGTTAGCATTTTTGTATTCAAACATGTCTGATGACTTTATGTTACATTTAATTTCTTATTTTAAAGGGTATAAAATTGATCTTTATCTTATGAAATATTTTTATAAAATTTATCATATAACAGTAAAATTATATTGGTGCCATTATTATATGGTTAATTCCCTAAAAAGTTGTTACATAGAATGTCTCTATTATTTAACACACATGAATAATTTAGAACAATAAAATTTTCAGGTTTGCTATTTTAAGTAGGGTTTTATCTGTTTAGCAATGATTTTGTGCATGTGTCGCTCGCTTTAAGGCAACTAATTACCCTATGTATTTCTTACAAACATTTTGGCAGTGTTATTTTTTAAAGTCCAAATGTAATAATTTTTGTACCAGTTATATAGCTTTATACACTTTATCCTATATATAATATAGATGTTCTCCTGGAGCTTGTATCTGGCTTGAGTGGAGTGTACACAAATCTAGGAAGCACAGAGTACAATCAGCTTTGTGATCTGCTGTAGTAATAACTAAATACAATAAATCCAGATACTACATTGATAACAGTTTCATTATAATTGCCTTACAAAAAAGTAATTTAAAGGAATAGGAACAGATATTTTATTACCTGCTTTTAATATATGAATATCTATCCTTATGATGTGATAAACCCACTTGTTGTATTGTAGCCTATGCTGATACAACATAAACTTGTCTTGATGGATAACAATATTAAGCTAGATTTTTTCAAAGAATATGGAGAGTTATTGGGGTTAAGATTTTACCTTTCAAATAGTTAGCCTCTAACTTCAATCTGATTAGTCAGCTCTAAATAACCCTCTGCTTTTAGATCTGACCATGACCAAATACGAAGTCTACTGACAGCCAATCATCGGTGAGCTTTCATAAAATTGAAATCGATGAGGTTTCTAATTTTAACCATACGAAAACCAATACTGATTAGGTAATTTTCACAATTTTGAGAACAAACGTGGTCTTGTACATATAGCTGACAGGTAAACTGGCAAAACAATCTTGCCCATTAAAAATTGACACTATTATTTCAAGTTAATTTGTTGAAAATTACTTCAAACAATTTTTGATGCCTATATGTAAAACCAGTGATTGCATGGCTAAAAACAGCTTTCTCGGGGAAATCTGAATTATAAAGAAGCCGAAACATAACTATACAGTTCTCATCTGATCTACATGAAGGAAATAAGTAGATGTGAACTTAAGTCAGATTGCCTCAAACTTGTACTTCAGAGAATTTGAAATTTGAACCTTGCTTTTATGCAACAAAGCTATTTTGTTGCCAGTTATCTGAAGGTTCCTCCTTTGTGACCGATAAAATGCAAACAAGTCTTTCTCAACATGTAAAAGCTTTGTCGAACATTGTTTAAGTAGGTGCTAGGGGGCATGGATGTTAGCTTGCTTTTTCCATTACATACATATAACATAATTGACCAAATTTAGCCTGCAACATTTTCAACTTCGCTGTTTTTGTTGTTCTTTAGGAATCTTTTTTTTTCCCTATTTTGTAATACATGTACACAATTAACAGTGCCTAGATGACATGAAACAAAAAAGAAGATACAGTTTTAAGGTGTGCATTTATTTTTATAACAAAAATTGTGTATCAAAAGTAAATCTATGGCACTAAATATAGAATTGTAATGTAAAATAGTTTATAAAATGCAACAAGTCACTAATATTACTAAATTGGATTGCTTCTATAAGTAAAGTAGTACAACAAATTATGATAGCAGTTGATATACCAACTTAAAGCAAGTTTACAAAAACTCTCATGGAAATTGAATGCTCAGTGAAATAGTGGTTAAGCTGAGATTCTTTTTTACCAAGATACAGGCAGGATGAAGTGAACACAATAGCATTAACATGGAGCATAAATTTGCAATTTTGTAAGGAATGTCAAATTGTGCTCAATGCTATCTATGTAAGTTAAACATAGGAATGAGAATGCAAATTGGTTGAATTGATATTCCCCGTTGTATGATAAAAAATCACATGAAGCCTTTCAGTATTCTGAGGTACATAATAGTAGTAAAAATTTGGTATCAATACAATGATTATAACCCTATAATATTGAAAAATTATTAAGCAAATTAAGCTCTAGTAGAAAATGATAAATTAGGCTTTTGAGAATTCTTTGAAAGGTCATTTTTAACTAACAATTACATGTATAATTATAGAATTTCAAGCAGCACGCCTCCAGATTCATGCTAATTTTAATGAAAATTTTGAAAATGTATTTGAATGTGTTATATTGTGAAGTAACCAAAAGGAATCAATTTACACATTATCAATGGCAATAACAAACCACGTAAATTACCAAAAGGTTGTCAAAATATGCATAAATAGCCTTTACTGTGTTAGTAATGCAGTAGAAATATAGTTGTAAATACTGAAAAATCAGTCTTTAATTGCACATAATATGTAAAATATTACTTACATCTTGAAATTTTTTACTTTGCCTTACATATTGGTACATTTTTCTGAAGTTTGATACTATTGAAATATTTTGACCCAACTGGAGGCATGTAGCTTTAAAAGTATGCACATTTATGCTCAACTTTACTTTATCCAATCAGACCAGGAATGAACATAACGTTAATATAAACTGTTATTTATATGGCAATGTCAATTGCGAGATATTGTTTTGACCAAGGATGGATCAAATCCATAAATAAATATCAAAGTAATGAAGTTTTTAACAATAATTTGATGTTCTAGGTCATTTAAAGGTCAAGGACATATTTCTATTAATCAACATGTTAATTTGGTCACAAATGTTGTTTTGTCCAAGTATAAATGAAATCCTTAAACAAATGCCAAAGTTATTGGTAATTTTAGCTAAATCCAATAACTTGACATTAAACATTTAGAGCATTTAAAAGTAAAGGTCACATTTCAAGCAACCAATCCTTAGGAGTGTTGTGTCCAAGTATGGAGACAGTGTATTCAGTAGTTACAAAGTTATAACCAAAAACCGGGAAAAACACAATCATTTAATCTTCAGTCAAGGTCATTTAAGAGTCAAGGACAAGTTTTCTTCTTGAAGGACTTATCCTAAAAGTTGTGTCAAAGCATAGGGACAGTCAATTTATTAATAAGACAGGCAAATGATAATGGTATTGAACATTCACACAAAGATTTAAGGAAGCAGAGCTTAGCCGAGAAATAGCACAGATATGAATGTAACTCTGTATAATAAATGAGTGGCCATAACTCCTGTGATGAATGGTCCGACCAAGACATGCAAACGATATGAGTATTTCATATTCGCATTGAATGTTCCTACAAAGTTTCAATGTAATCCAGTCAGTAGATTCTGAGAAACAGTCATTAAAAGGTGGAAAATAAAAAAGTTCTACAAGCATTGACATCAAATGTAAATATGACACTTTAAAAGCATAAATGAGCTGCGTCCTGACAAAACCAACATAGTGCGTTTGCGACCAGCATGGATCCAGACCAGCCTGCGATTCCGCGCAGTCTGATCAGGATCCATGCTGTTCACTTACAAACTCTATAACAAGTAGAGAAACTGATAGTGAACAGCATGGATCCTGATCAGAATGCGCGGATGCACAGGCTGGTCTGGATCCATGCTGGTCGCAAACCCATTATGTTGGTTTTGTCATGACGCGGCTCAAATTTACCATTTAATATTGATCTCAGACATTGATTCTCATGGTGATTTTGTCTCTCACCGCTGATTTAGTAATAATGTAGGATTAGTAGTCAGTCACTTGCAAAGAAATTAGTAATTACTGGTCAGTTATAATTACTGGTTAGTTATCAAGGAACGTATGTCAGGTGGATCAACCATCACGATTTTAAAATCAGCATAAAATACTATCATACAAATCAGCATAAAATACTATCATACAAATCAGCATAAAATACTATCATACAAATAAGCATAAAATACTATCATACAAATCAGCATAAAATACTATCATACAAATCAGCATAAAATACTATCATACAAATCAGCATAAAATACTATCATACAAATCAGCATAAAATACTATCATACAAATCAGCATAAAATACTATCAATCAAACAAGTACCTACATGAACATTTAAAGTAAATTCTAAATATATACCTGCATAAATTTGGTATTCCATTAGAGCATTGAGCACATTCTTGACATTCTAACTTGCATGTGTATACAAGAATAAACTCAATGTATCGAAACATTAGTATGACAATCCATTCTATTATTCATTAACATTGACAATAAATCTTTTTTTTTTTTGTTATGAACATTTTAGAACATAATACTTGTATATGACATAATTATAATTATACTATCATTATAAACTAAGCATAATTATACTATCATTATAAACTTTCACTTACATACTAAGCATAATTATACTATCATTATAAACTTTCACTTACGTATTAAGCATAATTATACAATCATTATAAACTTTCACTTATGTTTAAATTTGACATCCTCTATTTGCATAAATATATTTAAGTACAACCTGAATGTATTTAAAATAGTATTAACTTGGTAATCTATTATAGCATAAATGATATATTTTGACAACCTATATGAAATTGAAAAAAAAAAATTCCAAGCTATTTTAGCCTTTACATACATTAATTAACAATCTATGCTTGCGTCATCATTCAACTAAGCATAATCATAAAATTCACACTAGCATAAATTTGAATAAAAGAAAAAAACAAACAAAAAGACATATTGACATACTGACATTAACAAAAACCTAACATTAAAATGTACATACACGACTATACTAAAATCAAAGTCTGGACCTTAAAATCGTAGTTTAGTCCTAACCCCCTCCCTGCAGCATCCAAAATATACATTTTATAACAATCAAAGTCATGATGTCCCTGGTTTTAAATATTACCCTTAAATAAAAATAGTATATTAAATGAGTGAGGATTTCGTTTTGAATAAATTGAACAAGTTTATGAAGCCAGCAAATCGTCATGAATTTAATATGTATTACATATCCGAGTCAAGGCACAAGTATTTGATAATTCTCTATATCAATATCAAGTGTTTCATCAATATCTTCTGGTGTAAAAGTGCATATAAAGCAGAAGGTGTCTACAAAAATTGATATAACTATAAAAATAAAACAGTTTTGCTCTTGTCTCTATATAAAAAATGCAAACAAGCTAAACCTTGGAAACAAATATAACAAAAGAAATTCATTTTCAAAATCAGAAAACTTTCAATTTTATGAAACTTTGAGACCGTTTTCCTCAGCCTTTAGAAAATGGTGTTTAGAGCATGTACACCCCACTAACACAACAATGGTGACCAAGACACAAAAATGTTGATCTTAATCTGTCATTCTGAAGTGATATTCATCACAGTAAGTCAAAATTAAAATGTAATATCAACACTGATATAGTCCTGTTACGGTTCTCTATCTTCATCAATTGTTTTTTGACGTTTCTTTGACAACCTTTTTCTTTTATCATCAACAGTTTCATGTTCACCAGAATCTGTAAGAAGATTGTTAAAGCATAAAAACAGTATTGAAATCTATTGATGGTTTGTAACATCTGTATTAATGTAAGTACACATAAGAACAAGTTGTTTGATCAAAAATATTCACAAAAAAAGATCTAATAATCATAATTTGGCAAACAAATTTATCTCTTAAAAATGTTAAATCCGTATTAACACTATTGGGCCCTGATAGGTCTTCCTCCATCAATAAAACTGGGTAAGTTACCATATGACCCTTACGTGGTCAATGTGACTAAAACCAACAAATCAATCTATCTATATGTCATATCAAGATGTTAGCCAGTGTATCTTTCTACCCAACAATACTTCCCTTCATCACAGTGTGAATGTATCACTGTCACTGCAGTAATAATTATATTCTGCAACAATGTAGACAGTTGTAGGCCTAGTGAACGTCTACCAAGAAGGATTCAGAAATTTTGGTATGTAAATGTCACAATGAGACTTGGCAGCTTTACTAGAGGGGGGAGACCTAAGTTGCCCTTTCTTGCATTATTTCAGGCATGAGTGGGCACATAAGTAAAACCACCTGCCTTCTGTAAGTGAGCTAGAGCTATGAAGTTGGTTGACATGCCCACACAGAATATAAAATGATTTTACTTTACAATTACCATCTTTTAAGCATTTTAAATAAATATTTTAAAAGTTTTGTTTAACTTACTTTGGAATACATCATCTTCTAAAGATAGAGATTTTTCGAGATGCATCCTCTCCATGTGGGCAGACATGCTTCCACTCCCTGATGAAAAGCTATCACCCAAATCACTACTACTATGTCCCATGCCTGAATCTCTCCGAGCACCACCACTGGGTTCGCCACGTATCATCCTGGCTTGTTGGTCTCTTGCAAGATTTTCCATTTGCTGGAAAATCATTTATTGTCAAAAATTAACAAAATATAACTACTCAGTTTGATTTCATTTATATAATATTGTACTATATTTATGTTCCTATCTGTATTTTCATATACTACAGAACCTGATATCATGGACCTCCAAGGCTGATTGATTAAGGCTCCAATGTAAAATCACCTCACAACTTTAGGTTTGATTCCCAACAGGGAAGCTAACTATAGAAAAATCAGTTGGTCATTTAGAATTCCTGGAAATGCTTGAAATAACGCCCTAATTGTAAAAAAATAGGTAATCTTTTATCATTAATGATTAAATTAAATTATTAAATTAATTGAAATTATACATTGACAAGATCTGCCAGAGAGACCTCTAAGGCCCTTTGTACAGAGCCCCAGGGCATTCAGGACAAATAGAATTAAAATCTGACCATATTTAACCAGTACAGTAGAGTATCAGTGTTATTTGAATCAAATATGGTTTACCGTTATTTTATCATCATTGGCACCAAATTCCTTCCCACCACCACCAAGATAGTTTTTCAACATTTCGAATGGTGTCCACATCATATTCTTCATTGACTTGATACTAGATTTTTTTTCTGGGTCATACGCACCTGTCTCAACATCCTGCAACATACAGAATTATACAAATATATTCCTTGCTGAGTAGTCTATGTAATACTTAGTATGTCTATTTTGATTCAAGTACATGCATTTACACAACCAGTACTAAATGTTTATATGATTATTTATTAAATGCAAGAATTTCAATATCTGGCAATACTAATCAAGATCTGTGATTTTAAAATAAAGTATGATAATAATTCATTTTTTTTATAGAATTATGTCTGTATTTTGGTACTAACTTCTTACAAGAATAATAATACAAAAATGTCTATATTAAGCAATCAAACAGAAAAAATACAATTTATGGTAATAGGAGAAGTAAATTTGTTTTTTTATATAAGGACAAAAGTTGCTGCCTATGCAAGCAAAACAGTTCCTGTTGAACTTCAATATTCAACTAATCTTAATAATAAAGTACAATGTCACCGAAGATCAAGTCGTTTGAATTTCTGTACTCACATTGTAGAAGCGCTGAATCTGTCTGACATTACGATTGGTTCCTGTTAGCATCATAACTTGTATATGATCCCTCTTTATATCTTGAAATACTGGGTTGTCTATAGAAATCCCACCATCTTTCAAGTGACAATCCTTTAGCTCCTTGAAATAATCACTTGAACAGTTCCAGTGACTCTTAGCACTCTCTAAAATATATATACCTCGGATACACAGTATGTAACAATTTAACAATAATAATATTTAATATACCTCAATATATCCTTCAATGTAAAACTCCCATAGGCCAATTATGTGTTCTGATTGAATATCACCCTTCTAGGATTTATTCCCTGGGGAATATTTCATATATCACCCTGGGGCACATAACTCTTTCATAACTCCATATTCAGCAAATTATTAAGTATAACTTTAAATATATAAGTTCATGAACTGTAGTTTATTGTTTTGAATAAAATTAAATTGTAACAAGAGCACCACTAGGCAGAGCATTATATGCCCTAAAGAGTTTTTTTAGCACGAATAAAGCATTTGATTTTTGTTTTGTTTTGGGTTTTACGTCACATTGACAGAGTATAGGTCATATTGCGACGTTCCAGCTTTACTGGTGGAGGAAGACCTCAGGTGCCCTTCCGTGCATTATTTCAGGCACGAACGGGCACCTAAGTAGAACCACCGACGTTCCGTAAGCTAGCTGGATAGCTTCCTCACATGAAAGAATCCAAAGTCCCTGTCGGGATTTGAACCCACAGCGGTGAGGGGCAGGTGGTTTGAAGCATTTGTAAGACATGGGAATTAAATAAAGTATTACCTCCTTCAAAAAGCAATCCTCCTTTACGGCTGAAGAACCTTTTAAGTATACATTTGCCACCATCAAATTGTTATCTTGTAAGTTAAAATGCTACTACGGTTGGACAGAAAGACACCACGGGTATAACATAATATAAGCAAATTTTTTATGGCATATAATTAATGTATTGACAATATAAGTGATCATCCTATGAAGTTTGATAGTTGTAAAACTGTTAATAATATTAAGGTCATTTGATATTGACCTTTGATCTTGTGACCCCAATATAGATATGGACCTTTTATTCTATAAAGGCAATCATCCTTTGAAGTTCGAACACTGTAAGCCTTATGGAACTTTAGGTGTAGGTTCATTAATACTCAAGTTATTGAGCGGAAACTGTTTTCGGTTTTAAGGTAATAGTGACCTTGACCTTTGACCTTGTGACCCCAAAATCAATAGGGGTCTTCTACCAAATATGGACAATCATCCTATGAAGTTTGAATACTGTGGGCCAAATGGAACTTAAGTTATGCTCCGGAAACCATTTTCAGTTACAGGGTAATAGTGACCGTGACCTTAACCATTTGACCTTGTGACCCTAAAATCAATAGGGGTCTTCTACCCAATATGGACAATCATCGAATACTGTGGGCCAAATGGCACTTAAGTTATTCTCCGGAAACTATTTTCAGTTTTAAGGTAATAGTGACCTTGACCTTTGACCTTGTAACCCCAAAATCAATAGGGTCCTTCTACCCAAATACGGACAATCATCCTATGAAGTTTGAATACTGTGGGCCAAATGGAACTCAAGTTATGCTCGGGAAACCAAATTGCTAACAGATGGACGGACGAGGTTCTCACAGGACAGTAATTATGTGGCTACTCTACTGTTCTCTTTATTTTTCTTTTGAGGAAATTAGAAAGAACAGTTACCTATTGTCCCTCTTGCCACATAATTACTGTCCTGTGAGTGCGGACAGACGTACTCACAAAATGGTACTTATGTGACTTTTCCTTTGATCTTTTTGGCCATTTTTAGTCACATAAGGCTTAAAAAAAGACACACAAGTAAAAACTGAATGAATAGGATCAAAGAGAATTTACTGTTACCCATTGTTCTCCAAGTCACACAAGTACCTCTTGGTATGTACGGACAGACGCCAGGGGGTATAACATAATATGGCCGAAATTCTTTCGGGCATATAAAAATGGTTCATAAGAAGAAGCCAGCAGGGTAAAGATTTAAATAACATTTCAAGGGTTATTATAACTACTTACCTTTTTCGCCTTTCTTGTCATAATCATTTCCAAGCAGCATATAGATCCTTCCAACCTGGTAGACACTTTCTGTGTAGTGTGTATGCGGCGGCTGAAGGATTTCACGACGTTTATCTAGCACATCATTTGCGTCGCGTAATGCTTCCATCAAAAGTCCCTTCTCTATGTTGACATCAGCCTTTAGTTTAAATTTCGCCAGATATCCATCTAAATAATCCAGTTTCAACTGTTCATCTAACTTAATTCCTACATGAAAAAAGTAAAAAAGGAAAATATTTTAAGGACATGACGCTACAGTGTATATAATTTTACTTCCCAAAATGTTTGTATATATTTAAGTCTGCATGTTTATGAAAATCATATCAAACTAGACAGGTCTCAACAATACAAATGAAAATATTATAAACAAAGTGTTTTACAGATAAACTTTTATTCATCTGAATAAAAAGAATAAAAATTTTCTTTAACATCTTATATTGTCACAAATGCATTACCAAATTCTGTTACTCAGCCATTCTCAAGCACTATGCATGTAAACAATGGTCGACCACTTTATATGACATAGATAAACAGACTTCATGTTACCGCTGCACTGGTTGAAATGTTATTTATATGGCAAGCCACTGCAGTTTTAACAGTAAAAACATCATTTTAGTATTCCTGTATTCATACCTGAGATATTTAAAGTTCAAGACAACATAAATAGGTGTGTTTGAACTTTCAATCATTTTTTGTTCATCTTTTATTACTCTCAAAGGATCTCAGTTTTAGATTCTTATACTCCCGATTACAGGTGTATTATGAGTGTCCCCCATGTGGCTGGAGTCAAAAATTCCCATGTCCTCAATTTTAGTGAAGTATTTTGTTTCCTTCTGTATCATTGACTCTTAATTTTTTTCTATGTGATGAAGATTAAGTTTTAGTTCTGCACTTTACATGAACTCCCATAAAAAGAGTCAACAAAATGACTTTACAATTTTTACAAAATATTTCACTGGTGGCTTTCCATAGATTAATTTTTTCCCGCCAAAATATGATGTCAAGGAATCATGTGACATTTAATGCTGGGATGTATGACATTAGGACATGTCAGCAGTTATTGTTATGATGATTAATTTGTGAGATACATGTATGAATATACAGGTACCATGGAGTCACCATTATCATGGGGTTTGTGTATGCTTAAACTGATACAATGTATGTAAATTTCCGATAAAGCATGCACAACATTATAAACTTTTGAAGGGGATTATTCTTGCTGAGTTTCATTAAAATCTGCTGATTAGTTAAGAAGAAGATGTCATTTATACCTTAATTCTGTATTTAGCTTACAAAGCTATCTTTTGTTCTGGAACAATATTTGCTATATTTGTTGACTATCATCCAATGATCATATCCTGTAATAATTCATCCCCACTGGCTATTGGTATAAGAGGATGTATTAATGTTTTAATGACTTTATACAGAGTTTTTATGTAATCAAAAAACTCTAATAAAAGATATAGAAATTCTATTGAACAGTTTTATTTCTGCCTATATGTCTATATAAAATTTCTCAAAAACGTTCCTGAATTGCAGAAAGTTGACAATAAATGCCAAATGCAGGACAGTACCGCACCTGATTAGGTGAGCTAAGACAGTACCTCACCTGATTAGGTGAGCTAAGACAGTACCACACCTGATTAGGTGAGCTAAGACAGTACCTCACCTAATTAGGTGAGCTAAGACAGTACCTCACCTGATTAGGTGAGCTAAAATCAAACAAGGTACACACAGTGTATTTCTTGTACAAACCTCTCTCTAAATCTTCTAGAGCTTTATCTAGCAGATAATCCCTGGTTTGTTTGTCATCAGTTGTCTTTGCCTTTAGAAGCTTAATCCTGGCATAGTGCGTGTAATACCTTGGTATATCCCAGTGCAAATCCTTAGTCAACTCATCCTCTTCTCCATGTTTAGACGGTACCATGCTTCTAACCAGCGAGTGACCTTTTTTTATGAATAAACAAAATAAATATACATGTATTTATATTACATAGCATTCAGCTATTCTGGGGGCAAATAAGGACAAAACGGGTACAAAAGAATGTTTGAGTATTACAAAGTATTTTTTTTTAACACCAAGTTAACCATATAAATGATATGACAGACACAACATAAAGCTAAATGTGGCCTTATTTCGTTTAATGCACATTTCACATGACTGTATTTAGGGGTGAAAAAATTACATATGAGATTCTAAAACAATGAAATAAACATGCTGATAATGAATTGTTACCTTCTCTTAAAAATTGGTCAGCTTTGTTGTAGTCCCCACTGTCTATGAACACCTGGCCAATGTAACATTTTACCCTTGCTACAAAGATATCACATGGTGTTTTGTCATTATGCCTTCCACTGTGATACTGACAACACACCTTATCAAAAAACCTTATGGCCAGATGAAGGTGATTGAGAGATGACTCATATGAGCGTTCCTTCCATCGGCATAATCCCTTCACTTTGTGGAACATTCCATGTACAAATGCAAGGTGATCTGGTTTTTCACGAAAATCTCGAAGTGCTTCAAATATACATGCACAAAAATAAGAACAAAAGAATAACTGCTATACCAATCTGATAAATTTTGAAAATACCCAAGATATATATGTGAATCCATAGGCAGGGTTAGACTAGCTTGTGAAACTCCTCTAAGATTTTGATATCAACTTACCATTTTTTAGTAAAAATCAGCAAAAACTAGAAAGTTACACAAAAATTTGTAAAAATCAGCAAAAACACTAGAAATGTGTTCATAGGACACGGGTACCCCCACACTCCACCGATTTGTCAATCTTATGTCTCTAGGTCAAATATTTTTTTGGCTACATGTGCCCAAGTTGAAAACTAAAAATCTTTTATTAAGTATTTTATAAGGGCAAATACTAAAAATACTGAATAAATCCAGAACAAAACCCCATGTTGCATAAGTACACATGCTGACCAATATTCTTGTAAACTTTCAGGCCAAAAGGTCAAATACTTTTTGAGTTACATGCAACACAACTTGAAAATGACAAATTTTTACTTAAGTCAAGGGCAATAACTCTAGAAATACTAAAAATATCCACACGAAAAATACCCAGGTGCACAACTACACATGCTGAGCAACATTCTTATAAGGTTTCATAACTCTACGTCAAATACTTTTTTAGTTACATGCGACACAAGTTGAATATTGGAAATATTTACTAAGTCAAGGGCAATAACTAAAAATACTAAAAATATCTATACAAAAATTCCCAGGTGCACAATAGCGACTTTCGATTCTTTAATGTGAAGAAGCTATCCAGTAAGCTTACGAACATCGGTGGTTCTACTGAGATACTCCTCCACCAGTATAGCCAGAACGTTGCCATATGACCTATTCTGTGTCGGTGCGATGTAAAACCAAATCAAACAAACAAACAAACCTGGATATTTATCCGCCAACTCATTCAGAATTTCCAGGGCAATATCTACTTTGTCATGCAGCATCAAGAAAACATCAGCTTTTTCTACCATCCAGAATATATACATTGCCTTGTTATCAGACTTTAATGCTCTGTCTGCTTCAGACTAAAATGCAAGAGATACAATATTTGATTCATGACTTTCCTAAGTATAATTTCCCATTAATGACTTTTTATGTACAAATTTATTTCACAACTTAAAAAATCTAGCCAATGGGCTTCCAGCATTTTCACCATGTCATGTTCCAATGTAAATTATCATTGGATGTAATCTAATCAACTTAGCTTCCTTTTTATTTCTCCCAAGTCCATAAATCCATATCAAATGCAAATTGTACTCCATCATTCCAGTGATCATTTTTATTTTTCAAATCCAAAATTCCATATCAAAATACATATGTTACTCTATCTAGTCAGGTTTTCATTTTCTTAGTTCAAATGTTCCATATCAAATCCATATTGTACCTGAAGTACAATGTAATTTAACTTTAATATGAACAAGCAATTATCATAGTATTGCAAGCAATCCATAAGTCCCCTACCGGTAAGAGCCCAAGCAACATTCTGAAGGGCCATTGGCCATTCACTTAGGTTCCTATTCTAAGTAAATTTGTTGAAAAAGTTCTTTAAAAATGATCACAGGAAACAGTTTTTATGTACAGACAGACGGACTGAAGGACACTCTAAAGTTATTTTTTAAACATCCCTGTTATCAAAATATAACATTTTTAAAATCCTATCATGATTGAAGAAGTTGGAGTAAAAATTACCAATTTCTCAAAAAAAGTCTAAGTTCAAAAGGGGCATAGTTCTGGAAATAGTCTTGCTAGAGTATTGAACACTCACAAATGTTGAGTGACAATAAGAAACATTTATATGAAGTTTGAAGTAGATACATTCAGAAAAAGAAGTTATTAAAAAAAAAACAAAGTTTTTTTCATGAAAATTTTAAGTTCAAGGGAGGTAATTCTGATAAATTTTGTGCTAGAGTTGTAAACCTTGTCACATATGATGTGGTTGATGACAAGCAACTTATATTTAAAGTTTGAAGAAAATACCTTAAGAAATAAAGAACTTATAGTGAAAAAACTTAAAAACTAGAATCAGAAATCTTGAAATTCAGTCCATTTGTTGCCATAGCAACCAGAATTTTCAACATAGGAAGATAAAAAAGGATGTGCATAATTTCCATACTGCCATCTACCCATATGTCAAGTTTCATAAACATATTTTCAGGACTTTTTGTGTTATCACTGGATCCAGGTTATGTGTAAAATTTGCCATATTTTCAGTCTATGTGTTGCCATAGCAACCAGAATTTTCAACATAGGAAGAAAAGAAAAAAAACGTGCATAATCTCCATACTGCCATCTATCCATATATCAAGTTTCATTAAAATATTTTCAGTACTTTTTGCGTTATCGCGGGATCCAGGTTATGTGTAAAATTTGCCATATTTTCAGTCTATTTGTTGCCATAGCAACCAGAATTTTCAACATAGGAAGAAAAGAAAAAGACGTGCATAATCTCCATACTGCCATCTATCCATATATCAAGTTTCATTAAAATATCTTCAGTACTTTTTGCGTTATTGTGGGATCCAGTTTTGTGGACGGACGGACTGACGGACGGACTGACGGACGGACGGACGGACGGACGGACGGACGGACGGAGGGTAAACCTAAAGTCCCCTCCGGTAAACCGGTAGGGGACTAAAAACACTGTAGATATTGAGTGTTTTACTTTTATTACATGTGTTTCCTCCTTAAAAATTGGTGATGTGAAATAAAGAGTTTATCATACATTTTGGAGTACCATACTGAATCTATTGGAATTGTAATCAGTTGCAACACCTATATTGGACTCCAACTGATCCTCATCCTATTTACGTTTAACAGGTATATACTGTACTCATCTAATAGAATTCTGCATTGTACTCAACAATGTATAATAAACTCTTCATTCAAAACCAACAATTGATATTTCTAGTATTATTTATCTATATTTCACTTTCGCATCTATTTTTTATGATTTCAGTAAAGTATATTTTGTTAATAATATAATAAAATTATGATATGCTGTATTCTATCGATAACTTAAGCTCAAACAGAAACATACAATTTTACAGATGTATTTGAGCTTAAAGCATGCCTTTATATATATATATATATACATACCTGAAACATTCGACGGTTTTGCACTAGGCAAAGTAGAATGTCTGCCAAATCAGATATCCTTTTCTTAGACAAAACACCATTGTTGTCAGTCTCTTTGGGATGCCTTTTCAACAACTGGGGTTGCTCAGACATTATTTCATAGAATTTGAGAATATGCACTTTATGTTTTTCGAGCTTCTGTTGTCCCTTCCAGTATCTGGATTCAAGTAACCTGACAACTGTATTGATGAATCTCTGGTAATAAGACACAAATTTCTGGTAAGCAGGTTTCAAGTGCTCCGGCTTCTTCCATTCCGATATAAACCGATATACAAGAGGATGCAGTGAGTATGTAACATCTGGTTCCTTATAGATACCATTTTTAGATCTTCTAGGGTGTTCTTCTGCCTCCAATAGATGACAATTATACATATCTTGCAGTAGGTTTTTGATAGGAGTGTCCGTAATTCCAATGATTATGCTTGCAGCATCAAGATCAAATGGTGTCGACTGAAACACTGACAGAGAAACGAGTGCATTCTGGTGTTCTTCATCTAAATTATCTATTGCTTCCTTGATACACTTATCAACTTTAAGTGCTTTCGTTACATTCTTCTTATCAATAGTAAGATGGAATGCTAGACGTTCCGGAGTAAATTTTCCAATTTTTATCAGTTCAGCAACAACTGAAACAGCCAATGGTGAGCATGCACAGTCCTTCACTATGGCTTCAGCAATTTTTGATTCAATTTCCTACAATGAAATAAGACAATAAGCATTATTCAATACTAAGTGTGACCTTAACTTTTATCCTACAGACCTGGTTCATGCCCATGACACTGCTTCTCATTAGAATCTCACCATGTGTGTAGAAGATATGCTCTGGGCAAAATCTCTATATTTTAGCATCCTTTTATACCTTGATCTTGCATATATTAACCTTAATCACATGCTACACACCTGTAGTCATGATAATGATCATTTGTGTTTCAATCCCTCAATAAATGATGACTAAATGGCCAAATACACATTTTAAAAACTTCATCTGACTTTGATCTCTATGTGTGACCTTGACCTTGGCTGCAGGGACATGAATTTTTCATGCGACACATTGCCTTACAATGGTGGAAATTTGTGCCAAGTTATATTGAAATCCCTTGATGCATGTAAAACTTTGCTCTGGACAAGCATTTTTCAATAACCTCTAAGCGTGACCTTTGACCTTGAGACCTGGTTTATGTGCATGACACTACTTCTCATAGTTGCAAACATTTCTATGAAGTTTCATTAGAATCACTCCATGCATGCAGGAGATATGCTCTGGACAAAATATCTATATTTTATCATCTTTGATGACCTTGACCTTTCATATATTAACTTAAGTTACATGTTTTACACCTGTAGTCACGATAATGACCATTTGTGTTTCAATCGCTCAATAAATGAGGACTAAATGGTCCTAATAGACGTTTTCATCTGCACTTTGGTCTCAACGTGTGACCTTGACCTTGGCCGCAGGAACCTAAATTTTGCATGTGGCACTCTGCCTTACAATGGTGAACATTTGTGCCAAGTTATATTGAATTGCCTTTATGAATGTAGAAGTTTTGGTTTGGACAAGCATTTTCAATGACCATAAAGTGTGACCTTAAACTTTGACCTGGTTCATGTGCATGACACTGCTTCTTACAGTTGCAAACATTAATCTATTTAGTTTCATTAGAATCCCTCTATGTGTGTAGGCGATATGCTCTGGACAAATCTCTAATTTTATCATCTTTAGTGACCTTGACCTTGCATATATTAACATAAATTACATGTTTCACACCTATAGTCATGATAATGACCATTTGTGTTTCAATCCCTCAATAAATGTTGACTAAATGGTCCGAATACATTAAAATTCCTCTATGCGTGTAGGAGATATGATCCGGACAAAAATTGGACGCAGCCCCCCATGATAAGACCTGTTTTCAAACAGGCGTATAAAAATCTAGCTACCTGATTATTTGAACAAGCTTTTAGCAACTCTACTGCATCTGCCTGCTCAAGTTCACACAATTCCACTTCTGCTAATGTCTGTGATAGTTTGAGAGTATATTTGTCCATTTTTGTGCCATTTCCTGGCAGTTTCTCACGTGTTGTTAGCAGCAGTCTTATCTATGTAAACATGTAAGTAAAATAAATAAAACAAATAATACAGCTGGAAAATTGATACATCTAGAAATAGGAGAATTGTAGTACAGATCAACTTCTGCAGAGCAACACCCTTGAAGACAAAGACTGTTTCTGACAGGTGATGCTGTATAGAGGTAAAATTCATTGGGGAGTTTTCTTTGGGAAGAATTGACAATGGCTTTAAAGAGGTGATAGCTCTACAGAGGCAACTTCTCTGAAGAGGTTGCACTGTAATAATTTTAATGGCTTTAAGATAAGATGTTATAAATTATAAGAAATAACAATCAATAAAGGGTATACTACTACATAGAGCTGTCTGCAAGTACATTAAATGTAAAATATTTGTTGTTTTTGTTTTTTTTTAATATTAACAAAAAATCATACCAATTGGTGCCTAAATTGAAAACATAATGTTTGTTAATTTCTAGTAAAATCAGCTGTGCATGTGCTAAACCAGGCTAAACCTAACATCAAAATTTTGTTTTCTTACATTTTCCAAAATCATTAAATAACTCAGACAATATAATGTGTTGAAACCATCTCTGCAAATATGATAATGTTAAAACCTCCCCAGATAAGAAATAATTATGAGATATGAAATATGTTAAAACCTCCCCAGATATTAAATAACTATGAGATATAAAATATGTTAAAAGCTCCCCAGATAAGAAATAATTGTGAGATATAAAATATGTTAAAACCTCCCCAGATATTAAATATTTATGCAATATAAAATGTTAAAACCTCCCCAGATAAGAAATAATTATGAGATATAAAATTTGTTAAAACCTCCCCAGATAAGAAATAATTGTGAGATATAAAATATGTTTAAACCTCCCCAGATAAGAAATAATTATGAGATATAAAATATGTTAAAACCTCCCCAGATAAGAAATAATTATGAGATATAAAATATGTTAGAATTCCCCAGATAAGAAATAATTATGAGATATAAAATATGTTAAAACCTCCCCAGATAAGAATAATTATGAGAAATAAAACATTTGTTAAAATCATCTTCCCAGATAAGAAATAATTATGAGATATAAAATATGTTAAAACCTCCCCAGATATTAAATATTTATGCAATATAAAATGTTAAAACCTCCCCAGATAAGAAATAATTATGAGATATAAAATATGTTAAAACCTCCCCAGATAAGAAATAATTATGAGATATAAAATATGTTAAAACCTCCCCAGACAAAAAATAATTATGAGAAATAAAACATTTGTTAAAATCATCTCCCCAGATAAGAAATAATTATGAGATATAAAATTTGTTAGGACTGAGTCTCTCTTTAGATATGACCAAGAAAACAATATGATTCTGCAGTCTTTCGGGTAATTCACCAGATTTTCACTATTTTAGTTATGCCTTTAAGTTTTTGTCGAAACACTGCACAAAATGACACTGAATATGCAGTTGATAATTTTCTAGTTTTACAAACTACTTTGCTATGTCAATCAATGTTTAACCAAACCAAATACACTAAATATGAGCTGTGTCACGACAAAACCAACATAGTGGGTTTGCGACCAGCATGGATCTAGACCAGCCTGCGCATCCGCACTATCTGATCAGGATCCATGCAGTTCGCTTACCAACTCTATTACAAGTAGTGAAACTGATAGCGAACAGCATGGATCCTGATCAGACTGGGCGGATGCGCAGGCTGGTCTGGATCCATGCTGGTCGCAAACCCACTATGTTGGTTTTGTCGTGACGCGGCTCATATTTCACTCAATTTCAGACAATGTGATATGAATAATATCTCATTAATATATCCAAGTTTATACCTTATGGTCTGTATTGCTACTTTCTTTTCCCAAAACATTCAGGAACTTTATAAACTGTTCACTTTCATACTTTAATACTTGGTCGCAATCATCTAAACAAAACAAAATGTCTGAAAAAAAAATAACGATCAGCAAATAAAATGACTTATAAAATATGATGCATTAATGAAATATATGACAAAACCAAGTTTTCAGTAAAACTTAGATATTAAAGTGGTAATACCCAAAATAACCATAATTGTCAATAATGATCAAATCAAAAATCCTTACATTCATAATGTACACCTGACTTGGGCACTTGATGACAACTCATTCTTTCATGGATTTCCATATCAAAAAAGTGGACTAAACTTGAGGTGCATATAGGCTGTTATATTCACAAGTTCGTCGACTTAGTTCAATACAGAGAGCATTGAATTACATGTAATAATCCAGGGGTTGATCTTCTCCAAGGTGTAATTTCTCCGTGACAATTGATGTCGGACATTGAATTTTAAATACTCATTTGTCTTGTAAGTCTTAATTCAGTGAGATTTGTAATCAGTTACTGGTTGAGAAATTGGTAATTACTTTTAGGTTATCCAAGAAAGCCAGTTAGGCAGATCAACTGCGGAGATTTGACAAAAAAATGCAAGAGTTATCCTGGCAGCAGCATATTTCACTTTTCTCAGCAGCTGATAGTATGATGAAAGCATTAGAGTAGAAGGGGATATAATTTTTATGAACTTTGACTATATATTCACCAAGTATTTAAAGTTTCAAGAAAAATTTTTTATGCTAAGTGAGAAAATTATAAAAAATGAAAAAAATGTAATTTAGCAAAAATGCCTTTCAGGGTTATCTGTTTTTGTTTTTTGTTCTTTTTAATGCATTCCAATCTTTATAGTACATAAGTATTCCAAGTTTAAAGTGAATATCTTTGATAGCTTGTGAGAAATTAACATTAAGAAACAGGTTAATGAGTGCAAAAAAATAAATCAGGGCATAAAATTATTATCAGCTCAAATGAAAGGCCCTGTAATACTAGACTGCGCTTTCACAGTCACTGCATTTGCACGGTGTTGTTATATTTAACAAAGCACCACAAGATCGCAAGAAGAATCTGATATTTTTGATGACATGGAGACTACATGGCATTGCTAAGCTTCCACAGCATTGTAATGCATTCTTACAGGGTTTTAATTGGCAATTAAAATGTCTGCGTTCTTCATGTTCTTTATGCTTCCACTGTGCATCATAATACCAGCGATTACTCATGTCTGCATCAGTTTTAACACCTTTAATATATACTGTAGTCTGCAATTTCAGATGGATGCAGTAGAATCACCTTGAGAGCGCAAAGGTCCCTGTGACAGTGCCGTAAAGTCTCACTTCAGCCATCTCAATTTTATTTGGACACCGCAAGAATGCTGCCAGGCTGAGTAGAGTGACAGGGGTTTAAGGTATCTTATGATGACAGTGAACAAGTAGACCAAGTTTACAGTAAAGTCAGTTTAATAGTTTCTGAGAAAATAGACCTTAACCTTTAACCTATTTGACCTTTAGAACACAAATCAGTGTGACTGTAGAACTCATCAAGGTGTATCCATAATAAAGTTTCAATGTTATACCTGTATAAGAATTGTAGTTAATGTCACCATTAATGAAAACTATACCAACGGGTCATGACAATTCTTCTTTTCTTCTTGTAGAGAAGTTTAACTAAAAACGTATTGAAATCAGCGTAAAAACCAAAAACACAAACAAACAAATTTTCTATTCACAATCATTAGAAATAATGAAGGATATCACATTAAAATATAAACCTGAGTTAATGCGATGAATAGCCTGTATCAATACATTCTGTAGTTGTTCTTGTTCACCGTACATCGGAAAATTCCCATTATCATCTGCCAGCAATGATTTTATCACATCTATTGTTGATCTTTTGTTTCTATTAAAAAGGAGGTCAAATGTTAATTATGTAACTATAAGATCAACAATACTCTAAATCTAAATCATGGCATTTTACAATTATTGTTTTCACATTATAAGTAACTTAGACATCCAATCAATTACTTGTACTTTATTCAACTTTGCACCTTATGCTACAAAACATCTATGACATTCACAGATCAAATATTCATTTTTGACCAAAAAATTTTTTTATATCTAATGTTACTTAATGTCACTGCATCAAGAAAAATTCTACTTTGTGTTCATACCACACATGTTTTATGGCTTCCACTTGTTCTACTAACACACAGAGCATAACTGGACAAATCTAAACATTTCAATTGTGGCTTACAACAGTTTACTGAAATTTAACTCTTCATCATGCATTTCAATTCAATAAGCTGGAGAGCTGGTAAAACTGATAAAAGAGGCATGCCATGTTTAACACTTTATCAGTTGGAACCAAAAGTGATTACAATAGCCTTTGTCCCCAGTATAGACTCACTGGCCAGCCTGTACAGGCTGTAATACTTACCAACTTGATATCCCAAGAGTTGATATGACTGACAGTTATGAAAGTGGAAGCTGAACAAGTGCATTTAAGGAATACCCCAGATAATTGCCATAATCTTATAACATACAAAATTACAACTGTCCAATCAGAGTGGCTCACTCCCCTATTCTCATTTAGAACTTTTAAATTCAATGGTTTACAAAACCACTGACCCTAATTTCTTGGTCACAAGTGCTTTGTCATTGTGTTAATCAAAGATTTACATAAATAACAATATTATGACAACTTAACCAAAATACAATAACATGACCTTGAAGAAGGCTAAAGCTCAAGGTCAGTTCAACCTTTAAGAAGATCTTGTCCAAAGAGTTGTTTTGTCAAACTATGATGATAATTATCCATTATTAGTTACTAAGTTACAGTCAATTATAATAGCAAAAATCTGTGAACATTCAATAATATAACCTTCAAAGTCAATGTCAGCTAAGGTCAAGTTGAGTTTTATATACACGAAGGCCTTAGCCAAAACATGTAGGAAAGGAAAAAACAAGAGCACCGCTAGGCGAAGCATTATTAACCAAAAGTGATTTATTTTTAATGAAGATGAAGCATTTGAAAGACATGGGAATTAAATAAAGTATAACGTCCTTCAAATAGCAATCCTCCAATGAAGTTTGAATATTGTGGGCCACATGGAACTTAGGTTATGCTCTGGAAACTGTTTTCAGTTTTAAGGTTATAGTGACCTTGACCTTTGACCTTGTGACCCCAAAATCAATAGGGTCTTCCTCCCAATATGCACAATCATCCTATGAAATTTGAATATTGTGGGCCGAATGGAACTTAAGTAATGCTCCAGAAACTATTTCCTGTTTTAAAGTAATAGTGACCTTGACCTTTGACCTTGTGACCCCAATATCAATAGGGATCTTCTACCCAATATTGACAATCATCCTATGAAGTTTGAACACTGTGGGCCAAATGGAACTTAAGTTATGCTCCAGAAACTGTTTTCAGTTTTAAGGTAATAGTGACCTTGACCTTTGACCTTGTGACCCAAAATCAATAGGGGTCTTCTACCCAATATGGACAATCATCCTATGAAGTTTGAATATTGTGGGCCAAATGGAACTTAAGTTATGCTCCGGAAACTGATTTCAGTTTTAAGGTAATAGTGACCTTGAGCTTTGACCCCAAAATCAAAACAGTTCTTCTACCCAATATGGACAATCATCCTATGAAGTTTGAATATTGTGGGCCAAATGGAATTTAAGTTATGCTCCGGAAACCAAATTGCTAACAGACGGACGTCAGGGGGTTTAACAATTAATATGCCCAAATTCTTTCAGGCATATAAAAAGTGAAACAATTTTTTAATCCTTTATGTCTTGAAACGACTAACATGATAAACAGGTTTACGAAAGGTCTTAAAGTTGATATACCTTCTAAACCACAGCTCACCTGTATATTGGCCCCGGGATGGGGCCAATTTTAACTCAGGGGCTTTTATTTGAACAAACTTGGTAGACATCCATTTGAAGATGTTTCATGATAAATATCTAAGCTCTAGCTCTAAGAATATTTTTCAAATTTTTACTATTCACATATAGGGAAAAAACAATTTTGTCCCCAGGGCTTTTATTTGAACAAACTTGCTAGACACTCACTAGAAGATAATTCATGCTTAATATCTAAACTCTAGCTCTTTGGGTTTTTCAACAGAAGATTTTTTAAGTTTTTACTTATTATACATATAAGGAAAATCAATGATCCCCAGGGCGGGCCAATTTTAACCCAAGGGCCCTTATTTGAACAAAAATGGTAGACACCCATTAGAAGATGTTTCATGCTAAATATCTTTGCTCTAGCTCTAAAAGTTTTTTTAAAAGAAGATTTTTTTAAAGTTTTTACTATATACATAAAGGGAAAAACAATGACCCCCTGGGGCGGGGCCAATTTTGACCCCAGAGCTTTTATTTGAACAGACTTGGTAGACACCCACTAGAAGATGTTTCATGCCTATGCTCTAGCTATTTGGGTTTTTTCAAACAAGATTTTTTAAGTTTTTACTAGATATAAATTAGGAAAATCAATGACCCCACCAGGACGAGGCCAATTTTGACCCCACCCTTGCAGAAATATATACTGGTATTTAAAAAGTCCCAGTATTTCCCAGTTATTATCCTAGAAAATTCCAGAATGTTAAAACCAGTCTCGGCTATTCTAGTATGGCCTAGGAAATACCAGTTACTGAGAACTAGGCATTTCTAATAATTTTTAAACAACTCATCAATTTCTAAGTTATACTAGGAATTGTAATTTATTTTCTGAGATTTCTAAGACTTAAGATTTTGCAAAATTCCTAGTCTTTAGGAATTACTTAGAATTTATCTTGTAGAACAAAATCCTTAACATCTGTGCTAAATTCCTTGAATCTTACATAAATTCCTAAAGACTAGGAATTCTCTTTGTTGAAAGTAAACAAGTAAATAAAGAAGGAAGTCAATAAAATTGAAAATAAAAATGTTTTCTTTCTTTTTTTTAAATAAAACAACATACTGATCTAGATCTAGATCTATTTAATAATATTTTTTCTAGGATTACTATTATTATTATTATTTAATTGAAATTTAATAATCAATTGACCTTAAGTATGATGGTCAACCTGCATTTATGACAATTTTATCATTGGCCATTTAATTAATAGATAATAGGAATATATAATCCAAAAAGAAATAACAAATGTACAGGCATCTGAAGTATGTAATTTTTATCAGTTGTGTAGAGCTATTTTTAGCGCTGTAAAATTGCATCCACTGATGTCATGCTTCAGTGCACAGGCTGTGTGTATAAACCACTCTATACACGGCTTATACTGCCTGTTGACATTTTATTGAGTGTGATGTGAACATATGTAGATCTAATTAGGGGTGGATTTAAGGTGATTATTATTGCATAGTTGAAAATCCCATGTGGCAAATTGACTCTTGTGCAGATTTTTTCACGTGTCAAATTTGTGCATTTCCAAATTTTCACGAGTCAAAACCCGAATCCCCGCGTCAATCGAGAGTTCTGAATTAAAGTAGGCCTATATGTGGCAGGTCATATTTATGCTGACGGAAATTAACGATGATAACCTAGTCTTTACTTAACCAGCGAACCTTTACGATTATACTCGAGCAATATCCGTATATTTACGCTAACCAAGACGAGCATAATTTCATGACGTATTGGATACGTATACTGATGACGTAGCAACACAATTGTTTTGGAAACTACTGCAGCTTTCGTATGAAATTCAAGCGCTTGTTGGGCTTAAAATAATAGATTTGTGAAATAAAATTCAACGATATAATTGAAATTATTCAGTCATTGTATTGACGGCAAAAAACAACGGAACTACACGAAATTTTGCGAATCAAGCACATGTTACTGACGTAGTACACAGGTTTATTACGTAGAACACAGGTTTATTGTGCGCGCAATATTCAAAGATGGCAGACACTTCGTCTCATATCGACAGTGAACTGATATCGTCTCCCCAATAAAGACATACAACGAGGAAGGTGAAATTGCTCAAGCAAATTATCAGAAGTAGACCTTCAAAGCTGCAATTCACTGTGAGTATTATCATAAATGCACTGATTTTTTTCCCAAATAGAGCCGGCGTGTTTATGACCCCTAGAAAAAATGAAGAGTCTAGAGATTATTTTAATGACCTTTTTTTCACTTCTAAAAGCATTATTTTGTAACAATTTGCCGACTGTAACAATAGAAATAATAATTGTATTTCCAGCTTATTCCTAGTTACAGTTAAGATACTTAAACCTTACTGGAAAAAATGCGTAAACGGACATTTGTCACATATTTTCGCGACCTGTTTTTATTTATTTCTTTGTTGAACAGGAAAGATATAATAATAATGAATAAAAAACAAAGCATCGTTGAAGATGGTTGTGCTTCCCTGCAGGAAATTATTTGCTTATGCCCTCTAAAAGTTTAAAATATTGTTTTGAAAAATGCATGGTAGCAAGTTTTTTTTACCCCCAGACAGTTCAATACCCTAGTATGCAGTGGTCCAGGTGACAGCCTAGCTAAAATGGTTTGTCTTTGACACTGCCTAAGCCTATACTAGAGAATCTGAATACTGGTCCATTAAAATAAATCCCACATGATGATTTGCAAAGAACAAAAATAGCACAAACAGTGTCATTCTTTAAGCACTAACCTGAATACATTGCCTTAATCTCAGTCATTGAATTTAAGATTTTTGAATATACTCTCTATCTATCTCTGGATACTGCCAACCCCTCTTACGAGTGTTAAAGGCAGGAATTTAGTGCACGTCGGATTGTTAGTAAAAGGTGAAGAGAAAAGCTAAAAAGAAAAGTCCAAACATTGACATGCTTGGAAGGTGAGACTGAAAATGTATTCTAGTCATGGTTAAAATGTTAATAGTGAAACAAGATGATAAGAGATAAAAT